CAGCCCTGACCTCTCTCAAGGCTGCAGTTTTCTTGGCCGCACAAAGAGGTGCTGACTGACGGCAGCTCTCTCAGGCCTCCTCCAGCTTTCCAGGTCTGGGAATCCACAATTCCAGCCCTGTGGATTGAGACAGAGACACCTAGAGGCAGGCTGTGCCCACGGCGGGTGCTGAGTCCCAGGAACTATTCAGTCACACCAGCCAGTCTCTGCTCAACTTGTCTTCCCTGACTGCACAAAAGCCACAGGGAAAAAGCCACAGTGAACATGATGCTCATGTTCACTTGCAACAGCTCTTGTTTTGTGAGCGCCTCTCTGTGCAAGGACTTTTGCAGGGTTCTTTACCAACATCAGTCCCACTCCCATAGATGAGGAAACCCAAACAGAACGAAACGACGACTACTGAATGTAACGTGTGGTAAATTGGTACTAAGCACTTACTGCATGCCAGGCATGGCTTCAAGCATTAAATGTGGGTTAACTCAGTCCCTGAAATACAGTTGTTGATGTCATCTCCATTTTATAGATGAGGAAACCTAACCACCTGGCTCAATAAATTGTCCAAGTAGGCTAGGCTGTGTCTGTGCGTGGAAAGGCTACAGTGCAGAACCACTATGTCAACCAGAGTTAAACATGCACTAATACGTGATTTAAAAAAAAACAAGGGAAAAGTAATAAATAGCCTCAGATAAATCCTGGGGTGAGGGTTCAGAGGAGGAAGAGATCCATGGAACAAGAGGCAGCACAAAGGGAAGGCCGAGTAGGTTCGGACATGTAATGATAGGGACATATAGGAAAGGGCATCTCGGGTGGCACAAACAGCATAAGCAAAGGCACAGAGATGAGAGAGTTCAGCTGAGGTTGTGGATTTGTACAAAGGCATTAACCAAACTTTGGTAAAGTATGCCTGCAACGCGGGAGTCCTGGGTTCGATCCCTGGGTTGGGGAGATCCCCTGGAGAAAGGAATGGCAACCCACTCCAGTATTCTTGCCTGGAGAATCCCATGGACAGAGAGGAGCCTGGTGAGCTATTGTCCACGGGGTCACAAAGAGTCGGACACGACTAAGCAGCTAACACAGACACACATTTACCAAACTGGGTCAGGCCCTGTGTTAATGGCCATTAAACAAACCCAATGCCTCTTACTCGTATGTTTGGGGAACCCTGGAGTGAAAAGGGTCCAGCTGGGGCTTCAACAAGTGGAGGCCATCTCAGGGTCTCTCAGGTGCTGATACACTTGAGCTGCCAGGAAATCTCTGGCTGCAGGGCGGAAGTCTGGCTATCTAGCAGCATCTCAACAGGTCAGTTCTTAGGGCCTGTCAGGGAGGGAGCCCAGGCCCTGTTGTAGGTTTTGTTTTTTGTTTTTTTTTAAAGAAAACTTGGACCCACTCAACAGTTTTGAACAGGAGAGTGACATAATCAGAACTGTGTTGACAGACCAAGAATCTGAACGCATTAAAAAGAGGCGGGGGGGCGGGGGGGAGGCACCTTCCATCAGTTCAGGACTACAAATAAGAAAATAATCTGTCGCACGGAGCCATTGGAAGCAGCAAGCGAATGCGTGTGGGATTCATACAACAGTTTTAGACTGCCTTCCTCTCACACACCCCCTCTCCATCTGTCGCAAAGGGCACCAGGAAGATGCAGGGAGGAAGATTCCAGCTCTAGGGGCTCCAGAGCTCAGCAGCCCAGATCAGGGGCTCTGACAGGAGCCACACTGCTTCCATGAGCTGTCATTTAGGAGGGCCAAGGGGCTGCCAGTGTTCCCATCCTCAGGGCACTTTCAGAGAAACAACTGTGGCTCAGTTAAAAACTTCTGCCCCAGAAGGAACCCTTTCACAAACTGCCATCTGAGCTGGATAGGGGGACCCTCTCACACCATTGGAAAATACCCTTGATTAAGTCATCAAATGTCTCCCCTCAAAGGCTACCCAGCCATAAGGCCAAGATTCAAAATCCAAGCTGCCTACGACTTACCCCTTGGACAAGTTACTTCCCTAGTCTGGACGCTATTTTTCTCATCTGCAAAATGGGGATAATAGTTAACTCACACTTTGCTTTGCTGACTAATAGGATTACATAGATAAGGCACTACTTAGGATTCAGCCAGGAATACAGGCAACATTCAAGGAATGTTGGTTCTCCTCCCTTCTCTCAACACATGGATTCCATTAGGACTTCATACTTGCTAAGTGATGGCAAGTAAAGGAATGAATCACACCATGAGTTTCCACGGGGTTGGTAAAGGAGTAATTAATGGCAAGAAAGTACCCAGAGAACACCAAGACCTCAAAGGACCTTCCACAGACTCTTTGGGGCCAAGGCACCCCGCCCCGTTTCTTCTTGTGAAAGAGGAAGTGAGTTGAACTTCACCACTTAGGAAAGTACAGAGGAATCACCAGCATGCTACCCTCTTCCGAAGGGTGAGAGGTTCCCCAGAGCGCTCAGCTTTTCCCCAAAGCCTGACACCCACTTTGGCCTGGCCTTCTCCAAATCAGAGCAAGGAGTGAATGGGAGTTTATCTAAAGTCTGTCCAGCAGGGGTCCCAGAGGTCCTCAGACCCGGAGGGGCCAAGTGAGGAGCCTGCAGCCTCGATGTGTCAGGCACCGCTGCTGCGACTGCAGAATCCAGCTTCCCAGGTGCCCCCAGCCCAGGCCCCTTGCCCTCCTTGCCACCTCAGAATCTCCCTTGGTGAAGTCGTTTGAGGAAACACTGGCTCCGAGAACACAAGTTGGTGACTTCACTGGCCTCTTTTTCAGAACTTCTCTTTGGCAACATTTGTGCTGAAAGCAATCTTTAGAAACTTCTTCCCTGCCTCCCCTATCCAAGATAATTCACATGAGTAGCCCCCTCCAAACAGTGATCATGTGAAACCATAGCAGTCATGTGACACCTCCTAGGCTGATAGTTCTGCCGGAGACACTAGTAGTCATTCAATCCAAAGGCGCCTTCCCAAGCCTGACATTTGAGTTCCTCACTCAAACAAATCCATTTTCTTAGAAAATTGGACAACTGCCTCCTTCTACCTTCCTGCTATTCTGCCCTGCCTCTCTTCGCTTTGTCATAAAGTCCATGCCTGGAGACCTGAGGGAAGGGTCTGAAGCCCCATCCTTCAGCCAAACCAGGTGAATTCCACGTCAGGGCCGAGGGTGACCAGGACCCTTTAGAACCGAGTGAAGGATGCTGAGAAACTTGAGCTCTGGGGGTGACACCCCTTCCCCACCACCCTCAACCAAGAAATTTATTCTTCCCTCCTAAGATTTATTTATTTCAAAGTTAATCTTGGCCTCTCTGCTGCTCCCACTTTTTCAGGCTATTGATGCTGAATGGATTGGAACGGAAGTTTTACAGCCTAATCTTTACCATTTTATAGATTGTTTTTATAGCAACAGGGGGAGAATTTCCTCATGAGAAGGGTGGTGGTGCTCCCAGGCAGGCCTGGGAACAGCAGCTGCCCACTTGTTAATAAGCATTACCCTGAATTTCCTGGGGACGGAACCACAGGGTCCTGGTTAGAGAAGGGTCTCAAACAGACATTTAGAAATTAACTTGGGCCCAGTTCTCTGTTTCAGGGAAATTAAGCACTTGTGAGAGAATCTCATGCATCCCAGGCCAGGAAGGAGGGCAGGGCAGAGCCTCAGACTTTTACTCGGTGTAAATGGTCAGCTCAGGCGGGAAGGAGTAGATAGGAGACCCCACTGACTCATCATAGAGACATGAAATCTATTAGGGCTTCCTCTTGCCCAGCAAGGGCCCAACTCTAATTGAAATACTGGGGAGTGGGGGTGTGGATGTGTGTGTGGGGTGCCTGCGTGGGTTCTGGGGGCTCAGTGGAAACAGTGGGGCCGAAAGAAGCTGCTGTCCACCCCCTCTTCTCCCTCCACCCACTCTTTGCTAGTTCTCCCTTTCTCACTGCTATCAGATGGTTACCAGTCTCTAGGCAAATGCAGAAGGAGGGGGGAGGTGGGTACTGAGCTCATCTTTACCTCCCTCCCTCAAGAGAGGGAGGTGCAGAGACCCCCTCTGCTGACAACACTGCTTCAAGCAGCCAAAACCAAAATCTCATTCTCCCCCCCCCCAACAACTCCTTTAACACAGTTTCTCTGCCCTCCACACCCTCCCAGGAGACTCAGGGTGCTGCAAAACCCCTTTAAGAAGCAGGGCTCCTGAATGGTGACCTCACCCTTTGGCGAACACACGGTAGCCTTCAGAGCCCGCCTGCTGGAGACAGCCAGGTGTTTGATGTAGGCCAACAAAAAGACATGCTCAGAGCCACAGGTAACAGCCCCACTGAGCACCTGAGCTGCAGCGAGCTGCCTGGAAACCTGGGGAAGGCAGGAGGAAGGAGCGGGGACACAGAGCAGCTGGGAGCACGACCATCCACCCAGAGGCTTTGGCAACCTCAGGGACAATCCGCTGTGTTTTCACATCGGCATCTGCAGATCGCAGCCGCTCACCCCGGAGTTACCCTGGCCTCCCTTCCTCTCTCTCCCCCACAAACACTGTTTTACTCTGCGCAGCAGCAGGAGAGCTCACTCTTCCCCAATTGTCATAGCCTGTTTCTGTTCCATCCTGGCCAGTACAGGAAGGACCTCTGCCCTTTCCCCTTCTCTGAGACCCTGAAGTCAAACATGTGGAAAACATAAGACCTGGGAGAGAGATTCCAGAGGAGCCAGGGCGCCTTGCTCTGAAAGCCACTGACAGCCCGCCTCCCCCATCGGATTGGGCAGGGACCAGTGAACCAGCTCTTCTGGGTCTGTTCTGATGCCCAGCCTAGTGGCGCACAGTCAGAGTCCAGAGAGACTGGGTTCCATCCTTGGCTGTGTGACCTTGGGCAAGTCGCTGTCCCTCTCTGGGCCTCAGTTTCCTCATCTGTAATCCTGGTTAGAGGCACCTCTCCCCCTATTACTGCTCGACATTAGCCGAGTGGTTCCGAGTGGCCGGCTGAGAGGCCTGGGCCGGCAATTTGGGGACGGCAGCGGTGGGCGGTGCGGGTGCTTACCTGTCCAGGCGCTGGACGCGGCAAGCAGCAGGCAGAGAAGCGGCCTGAGGCGGCCGGGGACCGGGCGGGCTGGCTCCATGGGCCGCGGCTGCGGAGCGAGGAGGGAGAGCGGCCGTGAGTGCGCGCTCGGGCGGGCGCGGGCTGGAGCGGGGAAATGACTAAGGCTCCCCCCTCTCCCCCCACCTCTCCTCCCGGCCGGGCTTCCCCCCTCCCTGGAACGGGCGCCTGGAGCGGCTTAGGAGGCGCCGTCTGCGCCGCGGTTTTCGGAGGAACCCCCCTCCCCCGAGCCCCGCCACCCCGGAGAGATCAAGAGACGGAGAAGGGGAGAGACCCGAAGCGCGCGCGAAACGAAGCCAGGGACGGCCCGAGAGAGCCGGCAGGAGAGGGAAACAGACCCAAGGGAGCCAGGCAGAGAGCCAGAGACACAGAGAGGCGAGAGCTGAGGAGAAAGAGAGAGAGAGCGCGCGCGGAGTGAGCGAGGCGGCGCGCAGATCGAGACAGACAGCGCGGGAGAGGGAGGACCGCGAGGGCAGGGCGAGGGGCAGCGGGCCCGGCCGCCCCCGCCGCTGCCCACCTGCCCCACCCGGGCTCCTCGCGGCGCCGCGGCTCGCTTCCTCCCGCCCGCAGTCCGGGCAGGGGGCGCCCCCCCGCCCTCCTTCCCTTCCCCTCCTCCCGCCGGCCTCGCTGGAGGCTGCGGGGCTCGGGCCCCGCGGGCACCTCCGCCGAGCGCCCGCCGGCTGCGCGCCCCGGGGAGGGAGGGAGCGAGAGAGAGAGGGCGGTGCGCAAGGCCCGGGCACCCCCTCACCCCGGCCCGGGCCCGGGTTGTGGTCCCGACCGCCAGCGCCCCGCTCGGCTCGGGACTGGACGAGCCCGGGCTCCGACAATGTGCCAGTTCAGACGCCCGCGCGGTGGCCCCGGCCCCGAACCGCCTCCCCCTCGCCCCCTCCCTCGGCCAGCCGGGCTCGGACCTGCGCCGCCCGGCGGACGAGAGCTGCGAGACGGTGGAAGCGTCGCCGGGGCTGCCCCGAGGCCGGGCCCCTCGCTCCACTTTGCGCAAACTTGTTTTTCTAAGGTCGGCACCGCAGGCCGGCTACATCGTCCTCTTAAGGTGGACTGGGGAAGTTGCGGCCGGCCTCCCCTCACCTCCGGACTCTGGCCACGGCCAGTCCCGGCTTCCCTCCCCGGGAGGCTGGAGGCGGCTCAGGAGCGCGGGGAGTGGAGGAGGGGGAAATCTGCCTTTCGCCCCTCCTCTGAGGCCCTGTCCCCGGACCCCAGAGCCAAGGCCCCTCTCGGGGTGGGTGAGGGCCAGAAGGGTCCCTATCCTCTCAGATCTGGGCCGAGGTGAAGGAAAAAGCAGGAAGTAAGTGAAGGTAGGGGGAAGGGGGCAGGAAGGAGAGAGTGATGGTACAAAAATAGCGTGTGTGTAGGAAGGACTTCAGTACCGCCTGGAAAAGCGGCGCGGGGAGGAGAGGGAGCTGAAGGGGGGCTGCGGCCAGGAAACCGGGGAAAAGAGTCCGGGCCTCTCTGGGGAGGTGGGCTTTCCCCGCCAGGTGCCCGTCTGTCAAGGAGGTGCCTCTATGTCAAGGATGGCTGCTTCAGGGATCGGGAGGGGCCAGGAAGAGGTGCGGGGCCACGGGAACTAGGAAAGGCCTGTGCTTCAGGAAGATGGCAGGAGGTGAGGAAGATGAGGGGATGGGAGGAGAGCAGGAGCCAGAAGCCTGGAGGCAGGACAGAGCCTGCTGGTGAGAAAAAAGCAGCCGGTTTCCCTCTCTCAATTCCTCTTTCTGTCCCCTTCTTTGAGGGAAAGCTGTATTCCCAATAGCACCCAGGTCAGGGATGGGGGTGAGAATGCTCTGGTCACCAGACCAAGGAAGACTCCAGACTGGGGGAGGGAATGGAGTCAAAGACCCTCTAATTGTAAATAAACAATAACCAATTTGGCTTCAAAAAGCCCTTAGGATGATATGAAGCAAGGTGAGAGAGGGGTCAGTCCTATAAACTGAGGAGAAATTGAAGCCCAGAGAGGGTGTGGACTTGCCCAAGGTCACACAGCAAGACCTAGGGTAGAAACAAGGTTTGAATTTCTGATTCCCAGGTTAAAGATCTTTGTACAACGACACCCTCATCCCTCCCTGGCCCTACCCCAGCCTCCCTGTTAAATGCCTGGTCTTGATATGGTGCTAAGACAAGGAGGCAGGCAGGGTGCTGCCTCTGTTCAAATCCTGCCAGCCACCTCTTGTGAGCTGTGTAGACTTGAGAAAATACCTTATTTTTGTGGCTCCATTTCCTGAGCCAACAGGAGTATCAACCTAAAAAGGCTGGAGTGAGGATTAGATGAGTTGGTATTTGTACAACATTTAAAAACTGCCACATGGCATTTGACAAATAAGTCAAGCATTTGACAGCAGTCCTCAGGAACCTACAGGGTTCTGGACAGTATGTGAAGTGTAAGGGGATTTTCTTTGGGTGCAGAAAATACAGCAGGGACCCACGCCATGTCCCTGTCCACGACGAATTTACATTCTAGTGGGGAGACAGATAAGTAGACAAGCAGAAATAATTAATGAACAACAGAAGGTCGAGCTTACACAGTGAGAAGGGTGCGCTGATTTGGATAAGGGTAAGTCCTGAGACTGGGAGCTGAATCATACACACACAAAAAAGGGCACCAAGGTGAGGATTTGGGGATTTGCTGTTCCAGGAAGAGGGACCAGCACATATAAAGGCCCGGGGGTTAGCTTGGCTGGAGGGGAGTGAGCAAAGGATGGGGGAGACTGGTCTAAATGGGTGACCTCGCAGGCCTTGGTAAAGTACCTGCATTTATTCTGCAGGGAAGAAATAATTGGCGCTGTTAAGCAGGGGAGTGCCATGGTCTGATTTATGTGTTTAAAAGGCCACTGTGGCTACAAGTGGAGAGTGGGCTGGAGGGAGGAGAGTGTGGAATCAAGGAGATGTTCTGGGGTCCTCCTAGTATCTGAGGTGAGGGTAGGGAGTCTCCAACTGTTCAAGGCCACATCTGACTGAAACCATGAAGGTGACCAGTGGGGCTCCTGGGTAAATCCATCACCTGAATCTATCTGGGTGGGAGTGGGGCAGGGCTGCTGCTGAAGGTCAGAGATGAGGCAGCCTCCCGGCCTGGGCTTCCAGAAGGCTCTGCTGTTCACTGCACACACACACACACAGACCTCCCTGGGATTAGGAACCTGCGGATTAGGGAAGGATAATAATGGAACCAGCTGCTATTTATGTAGTACCTTCGGCCAGGGCACCCAGCAGGGCTTCCCAACAGCCTTCCTTCTTCACCAGGAGGGGGTCTGGGCCTTATTCTCCTGAATCAGCATCTACATAAAAATCACCCTTGGCTGACTGCCAGGTCTGGGAGATCATTGAGACCAATGGGCATCTGGATATATACTGAGGTAGGGGGACAATTTGCCTGAGGTCACGCAGATTATGGCAGATAATTGAGGTGAATCAACCCTCTCCATGGGAGGCTGGGCACTGGGGATGCAGCAATTGAGAAAAACAGACAAGAACCTCACCCCAAGGAACTAACAGTCTTGTGGGGACAAGCAAGTCAGTCTGTAAAATAGCTAGTCTGTCAGAGGGGGACAGGCTACAGGGGTAAATGAAGCAGGTAGGGGCCCAGGATTTATTTTTCTGGGCTCCAAAATCACTGCAGATGGTGATTGCAGCCATGAAATTAAAAGACATTTACTTCTTGGAAGGAAAGTTATGACCAACCTAGACAGCATATTAAGAAGCAGAGACATTACTTTGCCAACAAAAATAATAGTCTAGTCAAGGCTATGGTTTTTCCAGTGGTCATGTGGATGTGAGAGTTGGACCATTAAAGAAAGCTGAGCACCGAAGAATTGATGCTTTTGAACTGTGGTGTTGGAGAAGACTTTTGAGAGTCCCTTGGACTGCAAGGAGATCCAACCAGTCCGTCCTAAAGGAGATCAGTCCTGGGTGTTCATTGGAAGGACTAATGTTGAAGCTGAAACTCCAATACTTTGGCCACCTGATGTGAAGAGCTGACTCATTGGAAAAGACCCTGATGCTGGGAAAGATTGAGGGCAGGAGGAGAAGGGAATGACAGAGGATGAGATGGTTGGATGGCATCATCAACACTATGGACATCAGTTTGGGTGGACTCCGGGAGTTGGTGATGGACAGGGAGGCCTGGGGTGCTGCGGTTCATGGGGTCGCAAAGAGTTGGACACGACTGAGTGACTGAACTGAACTGAGGGGCCCAGGACTGATGATGAGAGGGGAGGGCATCAGGGGAGGCCTCAGAACAGGTGATATTTGGGCAAAGACCTGAAAGATGTGAGATGGAGCCAGGGGTAGCTCCATCAGGCTTTGGTCCTTGACTTTGTAACTCCCTGGTGTAACACGTCAGCACATCCCCTACCATCCCTCCACATCCAGAGCCAAAGCACTCCTCAGCCCCTTCCTTCTACCGCTCAGGTCCAGTCCTCCACCATCTCCCACCCTGTGCATTCTCCACTCAGCAGCCAGAGGTCAGACCATGTGCCTCTCCTGTTGTCCAGCGTTGGTGGAAAGAAGATGTGAAAGAGTATGAGGAGGGGAGGGTCAGGGACTTGAAGTCAAGACTCTGCCTATTTGATTCATGCAACTTGGGGAAAAAAATTTTTTTTTGAGCCTCAGTCTGTTCATCTGTGAAACAGGAATAACAAGGTCCACCCTGGTCAAGGGTTTGGTGGTGGCACAAACATGAAAGCTGCTGTGGTGGGAGCCTTTGTGAAGTTTGTCCCTGCTGGTAGGGTGATGATGCCCCTGTGTGTGCCAGGCCTGTTTACAGGGATCGTCTTGTCAAAGCCTCAGAAATTCCACCGTGTCCTCAGAGGTGAGGAAGCAAGGCCAGGGACAGAAAGCGACTGGACCAGGGTCACTCTGCCAGGGCACGCAGGAGCCTGCAGAGACCCAGCTTTGCCGGGCGCCAGCCCTGCAGGCTCTGCCCCTCGTTTCCAATCACCCTGGGCTGGCGTCAGCAGGCAGGCCCGCCAGCCGCCTTTGTGTGGGGCCTGTCAGGAGGCCGGAGCTGCCAACGAC